GGGCTAAAAAGGGGGGGGGGGGTTGTCGGAAATTTGAAACTTTTGTCGGAAATTTAGGAGGCTTTGCCCCCCCCTCCCCACCGGAGAAAGTGAATTTCCGCCACTGTTCCTTTCTGTATATCTTTTCTCTGTGCCAACACGGAAGTGACGGAAGCCAGGCTCGCGTCATGTTAGCCATGGCAACACGATAATTGTTTTTCTTAAATTTTTGTTGAAAACGGCAAAAATAAATTAATGTTTTACACCTTTAACTACAGAACTATCGATTTCTAACATATAGAAAGTAGGTATATTATTTTACTTTCTATGGGCTTTGTTATAATGTAAAATTCAACACGAAACGCTTCGTAAAACGTTTTGGAAATTTTACACTTTACCGTACCGAAGTAAATCACTGAATATATGCGCATCAAAACACGCGATAAAAGAACGGGAAAACTCGCCATCAGAACACACACCTTTAAATACTTGCGGCGGTAAAGTACCAAACGTTTTTAATGTTCATTGAAATTAACTGTTTTTTTGCCGATAAACTCTTCAACTTATTACTCGTACTTTGAAATGAAATAAATTTAAGTCATACTGGTCGCTCTTGAAAATATTTTTTCCTCAAAGAAACTTTCACATAGTCATAGAATGAAAAGGAAAGCTGTACATATTAATAAGGCAAAAACTCCGAAAACTGGACAGAAAAGTCATACATAAACAGTAAAAACAAACTTACCCTATACTTCAGGATTTCTCATACTTTCTTTAAGATTTCAAAGAGGTGATTTACAACTTATTGTGTGCAAAGATGTCCAAACTTTCTGTCATGCATGTTTTTTAATCTTTGCTTCCTTCACTTATTTTTGAGATCAGTGAGATGACCACCCATGCCATAGATTAACTTCATCTGTGCCCATGCATAGCCATGCGCCCGCAATCATTGGTGAACTTTAGACTTCGCTAATGCTTTCCTTTCCCCCGGGGGTAAATAGCCGAGCGGAATTAGTACCCTCGCCACGGGCTTTGCCTTAGCGCGTGGCTCGGGGATAATGCCCTTACCTTGACTGCTTTATCAGACGGGTTGGTAACAGTGTAATTGAATATGATCATTGGAATAGCACTGTCATTGGCACATAACGGAATACAAGGATTGAATGCTTCTAGTTTAACATGAACTGGAACTTCATTGCTTGTAAAATCAACTAAATGCAATAAAAAAATTGTCGTTTAATAGAGCAAACCTTTTAAACTTGGTTATACCTACGGCCACTAATGAGCATACCCTACCCTTATTTTTAAGTGATTACACTGGCAATGATAAATCCCAACCAATTAATGTACGTCTAACTCAGAGAAAACCTTACAGAAGTCCCATCACAACGAGTAATAGATTCAATGTAATTGAAGTCCCAATAGATTATAAACAAAATACTCATTCCAGCACCATGTTAAAGAACCAATCCAGATCTCGGGAATTTGTTCCTAATATTGTATTAACTAACGTCATGTCACTTCTTCCGAAAATTGACGAAATTCGTGTTTTTACTGAAACTCATAGTATTGATTTATTCTTCATTTCTGAAACGTGGCTAAAAAGTAATGTTGGGGATGATCAACTTATCCTCCCTGGCTACAACCTCGAACGGTTGGATCGTCGAATTGGAATTCATGGGGGCGTCTGTTTGTTTTCCAATTCGAAATATAAAACATTCCGTTTATATAACTTGGAATGTCCGAATTTGGAAGTTATGTGGGTTTATGTACGGCCGGCCAGGTTACCCAGAGGTGTTTCGTGCATAATTACTGCTACTATCTACCACCCCCCGTCTTCAGACGATAATGAAATCTTGGAGTACCTAATTGCATCACTGACCCGGGTTGAGAGTCTCTATCCTGGTTGTGGTTTAATTTTGGCTGGTGACTTTAATCGCTTAGATATAAAACAGTTACGCATAAATTTTGGTTTAAAACAACTTGTGAAGATACCAACAAGAGGGGGCAATACACTTGACCTAGTGCTCACAAACCTAGATCCTTTCTATCTATCGGACTCCATCATCGCATTTCCGCCCTTCGGCCTTTCTGATCATTCTGTAATTGCTGTCTCTCCTAAACTCCGAGACCCTAAGTCTAACCAGAAGAAAGTCGTCTATAAACGTGATATGAGACCTTCACGCAAAGCTATGTTTGGGCGGTATTTAAGCGAAATTGACTGGTCTTTCCTCGACTCACCCAAATCCGTTGAGGTGAAAAACCAACTGTTCACCGATATGCTATCCTTTGGATTATTCTATATATTGCCTGAAAAACGCCTTTTGGTTCATTCCAACGACCACCCGTGGATCAACGAAGATCTGCGTCGTCTCATACAACTTCGACAGCGTGCCTTTTTCTTCGGGAATGACACCCTCTTCAAATTCTATCGAAATAGGGTTAATAGGAAAAGGAAAACTTGCAAGGCTAATTATTATAAGACAAAAGTAGATAATTTAAAACAATCTAACCCGAACCACTGGTGGCGCGAAGTAAAACGCATTAGTGGAATGGTTTCACATTCAAGCCTACAGGATTGTATCCAATCAGAAAACTTAGAACACCTGCCCTTGGCCGATTTGGCTAATGCTATTAACAACGCCTTTCTAGAACCCATGCAGGAATTTGATCCTTTCAACCCTAATGACGACCAAATCAATAGTATGTCTGATCAACCTCTTGACATCACTACACCGTGGGAAACATATAATAAACTTAAATTACTAAGTACCTCTAAAGCACCAGGCCCTGATGAAGTTCCGAATTTTGTCTACAAGGAATATGCCGAGATTTTGGCATGCTCAATCTCTAGCTTGATCAACTGTTCACTCCGCCATCAATTATTACCAAGCTTATGGAAGTTGGCGAACATTATCCCAATTCCAAAGGAAAAGGTTGTATGCGACATTAATAAACACTTAAGACACATATCTCTTACTTGTTGTCTCTCAAAACTGGCTGAAGAATTTGTCATTGAAAAGCTTGTCGCCCCTGCCATCCTGAAATGCATCGACTCTCACCAGTTCGGAGGAATACCAAGGTCATCTTCAACTATTGCCCTTATTAGTATGTTGCACAACTGGGCTAAAGCAACCGATGGTACTGGAAATTCCGTGCGAGTCCTTCTGGTCGATTACAGAAAGGCTTTTGATCTTATTGATCACTCAATCTTGATCAACAAAATTCGCCAACTGCCCATCCCAATCTATATCACAAATTGGCTTATTAGCTTTATGTGTGGTCGGAAACAACGCGTGAAACTTGCAAGGGACTGTGTTTCTGAGTGGGGTAATGTCCCTAGTGGCGTCCCACAGGGCACAAAGTTGGGACCTTGGTTGTTTATTCTCATGATAAACTTATGGACATCACCCACTGGAAATACATCGATGATACAACAGTCTCGGAAACTATCCCAAGAAACGGAACCAGCCAAATCCAATCTGGAGCTAACGAACTTGAAATGTGGAACTCGCAGAACAAATTCCAATTGAATGTCCAAAAATGCAAAGAGCTTTTGTTTCAATTCCACAGAAATAGAGTATCCTTTGATAATATCCATCTTCTTGCGGGGTGTCCAAACCTGGTTCGCCAAGCTAAAATTCTAGGTGTTACGGTTAGTGATGATTTAAGATGGTCTACGCATGTCCTAAACATAATAAAGAAAGCCAACAAGAGAATCTTCTTCATAGTCCAATTAAAACGAGCTAAAATACCAGCCAAAGAAATTCTAAACTTTTATTGTTGCTGTGTCAGACCGGTTCTGGAATACGCTTGTGAGGTATTTCACTTTGCTCTGCCCAAGTATCTCAGTGATAACATAGAACGAGTCCAGAGAAGAGTTACATCCATAATCTTTCCCGGTTTGTCTTACAGCGAGCGTTTGGACAAAGCTAACTTGACACTCTTAAGCGATCGTCGAAGGCATGCCTGCTCCAAGCTATACAATCAGATAACTAAGGACCCTGCACACAAGTTGTCGAATTTGTTTCCTGCACGTCCACCTATCCCCAATGACTTGCGTAGTATACGTGTCTTCCAAACACCAGTGATTAAAACTGATAGATTTTTAAAAACATTTATTCCTTCTTGTATTAAAGAATTCTCTTAAGCCTAATATTCGTAGTTTTAACTTTGTAAATACATAATTTATATACTGAGTTACACACTTTAACAAATTTGTAACGTTCTTTTATATACCTTTTTTAGATAAACTTTATTCTCATAATTACCATTGTTGTAAAGTAACACGCAATCCAGTCGTACTTGGCTGCAATGTGTTTTCTTATTAAATCAATCAATCAATCAATCAATCAATCAATCAATCAATCAATCAATCAATCAATCAATCAATCAATCAATCAATCAATCTATCTATCTATCTATCTATCTATCTATATATATATATATATATATATATATATATATATATATATATATATTATATATACACAATCAAACCATACAACTCCACAAGACATAACAATTAAGCATGCAACTCCCTGGAGACATCCAACAATCTTGGAACAAAACGTAACAAAATAGTAGCGTTGATACTGTGATGTGTATTTGCAAAAAGCAATATTATTTTCTTCATTGCAGAATAATATTCATCCTGCTCTAACCGAGAAATAATCAACTCTGTTTTGAACCCATGAAAAACATAAAAAAATTAGGCTAAGAAAAATTTAAGCGCCTGCCTTGCATGGTCTTTCATGTACCTTATAAATTTGTAAAGTTTGTAAAGACCTATTAAATACTTGCATAATTTCGTACGTTCATATCTCAGGAAACAATGAGCTAAGACTTAGCTTACATGTAAGAAGCCTAAATCTACGCCATATCCCTTACAAACCCTAACGACAATTCGCTGAAATACAGGTTAGCCTGATATGTCATCAAGCAAACAAACGCTGAAGTTAATATTTGATATGCCGATTTTCGCTAATTTTAGACACATCCCAAAATATGCTCCCGATTTTGAACATTAATATCTCCATGAATTTTTAAGTAAAATACAACTGTAATATATCAAATTTAAGTTAGTCCTTCCTCTATTTAATGCAAGTTATTTCTGTTTGATAGCTTTACTTGGTTAGAAGTTATTATAAATCAAACCGGAGTACTTTTTTTTGGGACACCCGGTATAATATATAATATATATATAATATATAATATTAAAATTGAAAAACAGCTACATATCCAGTTTCATTTTCATTGGAAAAAGGACCTAAAGAAGATCCCGAGATGCATGGCAGAGAATTGCTGTCTAGTAGAGACGGACTCCTTCTTTTGAAATTGTTCAAGTTAGTCAGTAACGATCAGTTCAACCTACACTGTTTTGTGAAACCACCGATATTCGTTAAATGGCTTGTAAGCTGCGAAATCTTGTTTATCGTAATCGGCCGAATGAAAAAGTACATGATTGAAAATGCCTTACCAAATGGCTACACACATAACTGATTTTCATATCATGCAGTAAAATTAGCCATGGCAACTGGTCATGCTATGCCATACATAATAAGCCCGCATCTATAAATAGGTTTGCATATAGCATGACCTGTCCCATGCTGTGGCTAGCCTTACCAGCGATATCATGAATATACTGATAAAACTACTCACCATCTCTTGCTTCTCAAAGATTATTAATCGATTATTATCGAAAAGATTATTATCGAAATTTAGATTACTAGGAAGCATCATTTTTTCAACTTCGATAAAAGGTGGCGGTTTCTATGGTAACTGGTGATGACGCTTACGCCATGCACGTTAAAAATTAACAAGGTACGTTTTAATTTTGTTCAGGGACAAAGCTGTTGTTAAGCCATACGGATAAAGTGGCATGCAGCTTTTGAACTTTATCCTCATCAATTTTCTATAAGTAAAAACACGAGTTGAAAAACGCAATGAGTGACTCTAGCCTGCACATCGCTACAACTCGTCCGAGTTTGTTTGTTCGGTTTCCTGTTATTTGATACACATTGACTTGGATCCACCTGTTGTTGCGCGTCGGAAAAGTAGTATATTATAAAACAACCAAATAATTTCGACAGCAAGCAGCCGAGAGTTGTAGCCGCATAGATGTTTGCCATTAAATGACATTGCTAACCTGAACAGAGTTACTAACATACTTATTTTACTAGCTTCGGCTGATAAGAAAATATGTGCCATAGTAGGAGAATGCATCCACTGTAAACTCGATCCCACACGGAAAGGGACACTATATTTTGATATCTTATCACTGATCGAAAAACTGAAGATAATGAATCCAAATACGAGAAGCGATTCGTCTTGAACATTTCGCTTCAAAATCGTGTCTTTAGGCTTAGGAAACCGTGGGAGATGAAATTTTAAATTTGTTGTTCCAGATATATAGGTTTATTTTGATTCGATAAGAAAGCTGTCAACCCTGCTCTATTCCATTAAAAATTATTCCATGCACTGGCAGCTATATCTCAAAAAAAGCCGAAGAATTAATTTCCGATGAAATGTAGAGAAAAATATTAACATCTTACCCTTGATACTTTTATATCTTCATTACTCGTTTGGGATTTTTCATCCGATTCATTCATCCGGTCGTATTTCCACTATATTTGCCGCCTTTTGTCTGGCTTTTCTTCGCGGACATAATGTGGTGCTTTTTCTTGCTTCGTGTCTGAAATTGCCGTGGTCCAAATTCGAAACTTAACAGAGTTAGCCAGCGTCAAACTGATTTTGTGAATCTTGTCTAGACCTGCTGCAGCTGTTTTTAATATGACTTTAATGTATTCGAAGAATACGTCCGTCACGTGGCAACATATGATAAGTATGACAGGCTTGATGACTTTCTTTTCAAAGAAGCAATAACACAAGAACTTGTTTACATATAATAACACAAGAACGAGGTCGGGAATCTTCGAGTTAAGCCCTTCGAGTTAAGCCCCTCGAGTTAAGCCCTTTTCGAGTTAAGCCCCGGCCACGCCCTGTTTTGCCATGACCACGCCCTTTTTCCAAAAGGGCTTAACTCGAAGAACGAAACACAATTTGGGTCATTCGAGTTAAGCCCCGGGGCTTAACTCGAAGTTTGACAAAAAAGTTGTTCCTCGAGTTAAGCCCCGACTTTTGAAGTATGTCAACGAGTGCAATATTAAATTGTCAAATTTTCAATACAAAAAAGCCAAAGCACAGAAATTTTGCCAAAAAGAACTTATATATCGCTAATGTAATACGATTATCTAAAACAATCACAACTATTATCGTTAACAATATATTAGGTTTTTCATATTTAAATTAATATTAAATTTAACAACACTCAACAGGTAATTACTTTTAGTGGATCGTTTATCCACAACAAAACAACAAAACGATATTTTAATTATAAAGTAGATAGAATCCTAACTCGTTCCTTTTGTTTGAATGTGCACAATATCGACAAATTAACAGTTTTACTGTAACAAAAATGGTACAACCTTCCCCCACCACCTTGAACAAAACTAATCTATTAATTTCGGTATAGAATGATCTGTCTTTGACAACTTGCGCCCAGAGACTCACGCCTCATACGCACATGTACAGTAATTTTATTAGCCAAATAAATGGTTATGAATCACGAATGGTTTCATTTGTGTAAACAAATTATCACGGGGAGAAATTGTTACATTTGAGTAAAATACCCAAATTTAACAATTTATCCCCGTAATAATGGCGCTACGTCACCATTTCGTTTATAAAATTACTAATGGCTCAGCAAATATTCCCTTTTAAATAATACAAGTCAACGTAGCGCCATTATTACGGGGATAAATTGTTACATTTGGGTATTTTGCTCTAACAATCTTTTCTGTTACAGTAAAATTGTTAATTTGTCGATATTGTGCACATTGAAGCAAAAGGAACGAGTTAGGATTCTATCTACTTTATAATTAAAATATTGTTTTGTTGTTTTGTTGTGGATAAACGATTCACTAAATTAAAAGTAATTACCTGTTGTTAAATTTAATATTAATTTTAATATGAAAAACCTAAAATATACCTAAAATACGATAATAGTTGTGTTTGTTTTTGATAATCGTATTACATTAGCGATATATAAGTTCTTTTTGGCAAAATTTCTGTGCTTTGGCTTTTTTGTATTGAAAATTTGACAATTTAATATTGCACTCGTTGACATACTTCAAAAGTCGGGGCTTAACTCGAGCAACAATTTTTTTGTCAAACTTCGAGTTAAGCCCCGGGGCTTAACTCGAATGACCCAAATTGTGTTTCGTTCTTCGAGTTAAGCCCTTTTGGAAAAAGGGCGTGGTCATGGCAAAACAGGGCGTGGCCGGGGCTTAACTCGAAAAGGGCTTAACTCGAGGGGCTTAACTCGAAGGGCTTAACTCGAAGATTCCCGACCTCGTTCTTGTGTTATTATATGTAAACAAGTTCTTGTGTTATTGCTTCTTTGAAAAGAAAGTCATCAAGCCTGTCATACTTATCATATGTTGCCACGTGACGGACGTATTCTTCGAATACATTAAAGTCATATTAAAAACAGCTGCAGCAGGTCTAGACAAGATTCACAAAATCAGTTTGACGCTGGCTAACTCTGTTAAGTTTCGAATTTGGACTCGTGTTTCGTTAAGTTTCGAATTTGAAATCGTGTTTCGTTCTTCGAGTTAAGCCCTTTTTGAAAACGGGCGTGGTCTTGGCAAAACAGGGCGTGGTCGGGGCTTAACTCGAAAAGGGCTTAACTCGAGAGGCTTAACTCGAAGGGCTTAACTCGAAGATTCCCGAAAACTTTATTTCACTACAAATTTGTTTCGTA